GAAAGAGACTCCCTTGTATGTTCTGTACATGTTCCTCATATCATGCAAGCCTACTATTTTTCCTTACTTGTAAAAGGTTCAGGCTATGACTTGTATCAAAGGAGTAAATCTTAAAGGCCAAATTCATCCATCTTTCCACTGTGATCACCAACAAAAAGTCAGCATTAAAAAGTCTCCGTTTACCAAGAAAGACACAACAGAGATACCCCAATTCTTACAAAGTATAAACGCTGACAGTTCAAAAGTAAAGTGTATAAACTTTGATGAATAATACTAATGGCATTTTTACTTATTTTTATAAATCTGAAAAGTCATTAAATGAGCCTTCCCAACAACAGTCCTGCAGATTGAATCAGTGTTATTTTCATAGGATCCCGTTACAAGTCCTGGCCCTTCCCAAAACTAAACTGCATAACTTTTGTTTCCTTACTTACCACATGCTTTAGTTAGATTACAAGAAACACTTCTAGATTATAAAACACTTCCTTTTTTTTAAGCAGGTTGTGTGCCCCCTTCCCACCTGCACCCAGTCTCGAACCAATAGTTTGTTAGCTAAAAGTCTTTGCCATGTAGCCCTGTCCCAGGCTAGTTTTTTTTTTCCAATCTGTGGTGTCAATGCCACACTTTTTAATATTTGCCTTGTGGGCATCCTTGAAGTGTTTCCTCTGCCCCCACGTGTCCTTTGTTCTGGACTGAGTTGGGAGAACAGCAATTGTTTTGTACATCAGGCATGCGCACACAATGGCAAATGATGCTGAATAATCAATGTTTCCATACAGGTGGTGTTAGCGTCAGTGAGGACACCGGCATTTGTGCAACGATCCTCCTATTTTATACCAAGGTTCTTCCAGAGGTAGTGCTGGTGATGGCCTGCCAGGCTTTTCAGGCCTGTACATCACCTAAGCTTCACAGCTATAGAGAAAAGTTGGGATTATCATAGCCTTATATAGCAGGAGCTCTGTTCAAGTCCTGATGTGATTGATGATAATTGAAAACACAATGATAGTCTTCCGAAGGCAAAGCTGGCACACTGGATCCTATACAGGATCTCCTCAATGTTGGCCTTCTTTGAGAGATGACTGCCGAGGTATGCAAAGTAGACAACATTCTCCAGCTCCTGTCCATCAATGAGGATCTTTTCCAGGGGAGTTGACTGGCTCGGAGCAGGTTGGTGAAGCACCTTTGTTTTTCTGATGTTTAGGGCCAGTCCCAGGCACTGGTATGCTTGAGAGAAGCAGTTAAGGGACACGTGTAGGTCTTCCTACATATGCAAAATGACAGCACAAGCATCGGGGTACTGCAGTCCCACAATCAAAGCCGAAATAACTCTGGTTTTGGTATAGAAGCAGGAGAGATTGAAAAGGCTCCTCTCCATCTTGTTCTCAATGCCAGTGCCATGTGGCAGATGGTCACTGATGAGGATCTTGATGACTACAAGAAAGATGGAAACCATAACTGGTGCAATCAGGCAGCCCTGTTTGATGCCAGTTCAAATGGCAAAGGGCTCCATACCAGAGCCACTGCACAGGATGAAGGCAGTCATCTGGTCATAAAGGAGTCTTAGGATGGTGATAAATTTCTCTGGATAGCCAAACTTCGATAACATCTTCCATACAGCCTCACAGTTAACAGAGTTGAAGGCTTTGGTCAAATCAATAAAGGCCATATACAATTCCTGGTGGTGTTCTCAGCATTTTTCCTGGATCTACCAGGCCACAAAAATCACGTCCCTGGTGCCTTTTGATGGTCCGGAGCGACACAAACTCAGACAGGATTTATTTGGCAAGAAGGAGCAGTTGATTCTGGAGAATTCGAGCAAGCATCTTCCTGGTGACAGAGAGGAGGGCAATACCTCGTTAGTTTCCAGAGTCAGACTTATCACCCTTTTTAAAAATGGTGACAATACTGGCATTCCTTGGGTCTGTGGAAATTTCCTCAGTGTTCCAGATTTTGAGAAATAGTGTGTGGATCTTGTTGGCCATAGTTTCCCCACCTACTTTGAAGATCTCAGCTGGTATGCCATCAGGGCCAGATGCTTTGTTGTTCTTCATCTTTGTTATCATCTGGTAGACTTCTTCAGAGATTGGTGGACTGACAAGTGCTTTCCTTACTTCAGTGGTTCCCAACCTTTTTTTGCCATGAGCCACTGCTGTGAGCAGTGTGTGGCAGCGGCGGTGGCCCGGGGGTATGGGAGCTCCCGGCACAAGACGCAGCTCGCCCTTTGTGTGCCGCACCACCAGCATTGCCCCCATGACCCTCATTTGGGTCACGACCTGAGGTTGGGAACTGCTGCCTTACTCAGTGCTGCAGTATGGATTCAATAGTTTCATCAGTCACTATTGATACTCAGTTCAGGAAATTTGGTAGTGCTCCTTGCAGCCGTTTTTAATGGACTTACTGTCTTTGAAGAGCATACTGCCATCTTCAGATCTAAGCAGGGTGAGTCTGCAAGCTCTTGCAGATGGCCTTGCACTAAAGAAGCTCTGCACGTCATGACTGAAGAAGCTCTGCACATCATGACTGTCAACAAATTGTTGGATTTCTTTCACTTACTCTTTCCACCATTTGTTTTTGAACTCTCAAAATCTTCCTTTGGGCTTCAGCTTTAAACCATCAAAAAGTTCCCTACTTCTGACTGGACATAGGCTGGTTTGTCAGCCATACAAAACTTTTCTCTTCTGATTGAGAAGGGCTTTGATCTCAGCATTGTTTTCATCAAACCAGTCCTGATGGCCTTGGGTTATAAAGCCAATTGATTCCATGCAAGCCTTATGGATGGTCTCTTTTAGAGCTTTCCAGCCTCCCTCAACACAAGTGTTATCCTAAGACTGATGAGTTTCTTGCTGAGATATGTTTGGAGAGCTTTGTGGTGTCTAGGAGTCTGAAGGCATTTGATGTTGTACTGTCTTTGGACTGATTTGGGTTTCTTTTAATGTTTCAATGCAACCCTAATGGACAGGATTTATCTCACTAGGTGATGATTGGTCCAGCAATCATCAGCTTCTCTCATAATACATGTGATATGAATGTCTTAGATCATGCACTCTTACAATGACATAGTTGAGGAGGTGTTGTTGTTATAAGCAGGGCTTTTATCCAGCCTGCAGAGGGCCTTTCAGCCCCACCCAGCCTAGGCACAGGGGACAGCCCAGGCTGTGGTGCACACGGCCGATCCCGCCGCCATCCAGTACACAGCAGGGCTGAGGAGGCACAGCAGACAGACTCGCTTCCCAGTAGCCCCTGCAGTGGTGCCTCCTTTCAGCTGCCATTGCCAGTCTCTGCTGCTGCTGCAGCAAGATTCAGCCCCGATGACTGGGCACCCCAGTCTGTCCGTCCCACACCCAGTACTGGGGGTGCTGGTTGTAGAGCCTCTCTCTCCATGGAGACCAGCCCAGGACCCACGCAAGCAGGCTGTACTCAGCTGGGTGGATGGGATGGGGCGAAGAGTGGACAGACAGAAGGGTTTGGGAGTGGGATGGGTGGGTGGGGTAGGAGCCAGGATCAGGACCACAGGGCCATAACAGCATAGGGCTGGGGCCCAGGGCAGACCCACTAGCCGCTGCTCGCATGTCCCTGTGGTAAAAGTAAAAGTTACCTCTACCCTTAGCCCAGGAAGATAAACATGTATAAATTTGCAATTGTTCCTAGCAATAAATATTTCTCATCAACACTGGCAAGGTGATTTTGAAGAAACATACAAGATCAAAGTCCCTGCTGCTGGCAATGGATCTGCATCCATTTACATCAGCAAATAATGAAGTCTAGAGAATAAAGATGAATTTGCAATGCATCCTCATTTACAATATGCCTCTTTTCACCAACACATCCCCATCTTTTATCTTCTTATGATTTTGCATTGGCAGATTGAAGCACTATACTTTCTAAAAACAGAGGTAAAGACAATAGTCACCAGGATGCCTAGGCCTGTTTTGATTAGTAGATCTCCCCCATACCACCAATTATTATTGCAATAATGATCCTTTTCAAACTGTTTTGAATTCCAACTTTGCATGAGCACAGAGGAGCGGATCATTATGAAATTAGCACTTCACCATCCTGTTAGGCCAACAAGGGACTAGGGATGTGAACAGTTAAACAATTAATTGTTTAACTGATCTGGCTCAGCTTATAGGTTATCTTTTAGCCTGGGGCTGGGAGCAGTCTGGGAAGGAAGGCAGAGAAAAGAAGCCCTATAGTGCCCCAGCAGGAACCAGAAGGTGGAAGGGTAGGAGGGAGGGAGAGATAAATGAGGAGGAGGGGAAGGGTGACTAATAACTAATAGCTAGGCTAGGTGTAGGGAGGGAGAGAGAAGCAAGAAAGAAAGAGGGGAGGAGGGAATGGGAGGGTAGGGATTGCCTCCTGCTCCCTCCCTCACAGCACAGGCTGGTAAAGCCTCTCTCTGGCTGCTGCCTGCCTGGTGGAGCTGTGCTGCCTGCCCCTTCCCTTCTGTGCTGGTCCTGGAAAGCTGTATGCTGGTGGGTGCAGCAACTTGTTGGCTGCTGCCACCAGGAGCTTCCTGGGCTGTGCTGCCTGCCTGGCAGGGCTGCTTTGACCCCCAGCTCCCTGCATTGCTCTGGGTGGGTGGGTGCAACCCCTCCTCCATGGCAGGGTGAGGCAGGGCAGGTGCTGCCCTATGGCTGAGCACACCCCCTTCCACACTGACTTTGCAGAGCCACGGGCTGGAGTCCAATGCCATGACACCTGTCCCCATCCCTGCCCCCAGCCAGATGCAGCACCTTCTGTTGCTACAACTGCCACAGGGCCTGGCAGGGCAAGGTAGACATAAGTGGACACAGGGCAACTCCCTTGGGCCTGTGGCTCAACCCCACAGCATGCCCTGCCAGCCCTGTCT